CAAGCAGGCCAGGGATCGCCCCCCCCCCCCCCCGCCCGCCCGGCTGCGCATCCGGAGATGTGCATGCCCTTGTCCCATCGGCCGGTCGTCCGGCCGGCGGGCCCTGCCGTTTGAGGGGGGGGGGAGCAGGGTGAAATTCGGGTGGAGGCAGAGGGGGAGGGAGGAGAGGGAGAAGATCGATGCCGCTTGGTCCCGGGCGTTCCCAGGCCGCAGGGGACTCCCGTTTGGCAGCACAGGGTCGGAGCGCCCTCGCGCCGACCGATGGATGGGTAACGATCTGGGCGCCAGGTTCGCAGGGAACACTGGCGGGAGTGCGGGCGGGTAGAGGAATCCATCCCGGATGGGGCACGTCCGCGTCTGCGTGCGCATGTCCCCCATTGTGCGCCTGCGTCGGTGTGTACGTGCGTGTGTGTGAGTGTCTGTGGGACATAAAACGAGGTGCCCATGATTGGGGATCGCCCCCCCCCCCCCCCCCCACGGGATGCTCTTCACGATCGTGCGATGGATGGGGCACGGGAATCCCCTCGGGCTAGGCGGGGGCGGGGGGGGGGGGGGGAAGGAGGCCCGGATCTCGGGCAGGACAGACCCCCGGTGCTACCCTTGGCATCCGGCTCGCAGCCCGATCAAGCATGCAACCAGCCGCCACCCTTTCCTACGGGACGCCGCTCGCCCCGTGCCTCCTCCAAAAGGGGGCGGACCACAGCCAGGTGCTCCACGCCTGGCGCCCCGCATCGCGCCCTCCCCCTTCTCCTCCTTCCCTTCTCCCTCCTCCTCCTCCTCCTGCCATCCTTGGGCCCCCTCTCACTGTGCCCCCCCCCCCCCTGTAACTTGCTCTTTGGTCTTAGATCTCACCCTGCTGCTTGCTTGCCGGTCTGATGGCCGGCCCGGCTGCAGGCCCCCGACTTGGGGGCTGTCCCCAGTGTCTGGAAGATGGCGAAATCGCGTGCGTTTCCCGCTGCCAAGTCACACTCGCGTCTGTTGGCCGCCCCCACTCGCAACTGCAGCCACCAGCTCGTCACTAACCCCCTCGAGGCAGGGAGGACGCCGCCAATGGACAGATGGTGTGTGTTGTTTGTGGCCTGGTGATCGAGTCTTCCATTCTGTCCTTCGCCCCGCCACCGCCCTCGGCCCAGGCAACCTCCACTTCAAGTCTCTCGGTGCAGAATCGCATCGACTCCGAGACGGTCATCGGCAGTCTGTATGCCGAACGGCGCTTCGGCAGCCGGGCGGCGAGTGACCGCACGCCCGGCCACCGGGCCCCCGATAGCATGGCCGCCCCGGGCAGTGGGGAGGCCGGCCGGTCGGCGGGTGTCCGAACCCTGCGAGCCGACCCGCTAGCCGCCTGCCGGAAGATCGAGGAGTGGGCACACTCACTTGGCCTGCCGGTGGAGCAATCGGAGTCGGCGCAATTTCTCCTGGTCAACCTGCTCGAGGACCCGCCCAAGGATCAGGCCGGTCGGCAGGCGGTCGGTCCGCCTGGGCGATCGTCCACCTGGGCCGGGGTCCGTCCACGCGCTCTGCTCGCCGCGGCCTGTCTGCATGTCATGTGCCTGAAAGTGGGCCGTGCCATCACACACGAAGAACTTGCGGTGGGTGGCTTCGCTTCGCCTTTTTTTTTCTTTTTTCTTTTCTTGCCCGTGCGATCTGCCCGCTGCCTGGTCCTGTGGCCGCATGCCCATCCCGATGCCCGTCTGACGCCCGTATTTTCCCCAGACCATTGCCCGAGTGCCTGTCAAGCGTCTTCGTCAGATGGCCACCCGTGTGCGACTCTATTTCCTCCGGGAGCAGCAGGCCCCCGTAGCCATGGGACCTTCTCCCGGGGGTCCCCCCTCCCCAGCTGTGCAAGCGCCCCCCGGGACATCGTCTCTCCTGCATGGCTCGGTGCCCGAGGCCCCAGCCTACCTGGAGCGCATTGTCGCGCGACTGGAGGATGACTTCTTCGTGCACCACTTGCCAGCCAGCCACATGGCCATCCTGCAAGGGGAGACATTCTTCCCGCCGCCATCCGTGCCGAGCCAAACGCCCTCAAGCCGGGCGCCGCGGCCCCCGGTCCTCGAGCGAAACCCGCGCATACTGCGAGCCGGACTTATGCGGCGTGCCCAATCATTTGCGGGGCTTCTGCGCGCGGCGTTCGATGCCGATGCCACTGCCGCCGGGCGTTTGCCGATGGAGCCTGGGCAATCGGCCGATTGGACACGTCCCTCACTCGGCGCGGCATCCGGACGCCAGCCGCAGTTCCTGGCCAATCGGGGCCTGGCCATTGCCTCGTTGATCTTGGCCCTCCTGCCGCTGGGACCGGATCCCCCGGACCCGACGACCCCCTTCGCCCTGGCACAATCCTGGCCCCTTGTCTGTCGCCAGGCCACGGGGTGTCTTGCGGCCGCCTCGTCCCTGGTGTCTCGCGAGCTGGAAATCTCCTACGGCCCGCTTGGCATCGATTTCCCATGTGACCCCCCTGGGCCTGGCCAATCCGCCGAGGCGGTGGCGGGCCCTTCAGCCAACACCCCTCGCGATGCCTCCGTCGGGCTGGCCGGCATCCCGACGACCTACTCGTCAGCGACATTGGCCCGGCTGGCCCGACGGGGAGCTGCCCTCCTCTTGCGCCTGGCCGCCACGCACATGCCGTACCTCTTCCCGGACTTGTCCCACCGGGCCTCGATCGAATCACACCCCCGGCCACGCGAAGTGGACGCCCTCTTGCCGCTGGTGGCTCCCCTGTTGGCAGACCTAGCGCGCATGGTGTACCTCCTGGGCCCATGTCTCTCGGACCCGGGGACCATCGCGCATGGCCCGGCCTCCAGTCCCGATCCCATGCCCTCGGCTCGGGGCTACGATCTGGAGGATGACCAGCGACTTGATCGGGAGGCCGAACAGTACATCCGGCCGGCGGCCGAGGCGCGTTTGGTGCGGGAACTCAATGAGTCTCTCGGGTTTTGGGATGCCTCGCCACCCTAGCAGGCGTCCACGCAAGCAAACGCATCCAGCCAGTCCAAACCAATAGATCCATCTTTTTTTATCATTCATCCTGGCCCATCTGCAGAAACCTCCTGCCTTTGTGAGAGCCCCCACACAAGCGTGTATATGCTTTTACACGTGTGTGTATCTGTGATTGCGCGTGCGCGCGCGTGTTTGTGTGTGTATGTGTGTGTGTGTGTATGGGCAATAAATGTGTGCGCGCACGCGCAAAAGATATATTTTGCCGACAGGCACATTGAAACGTCAAGACCCCCACCGAAACCAGGTGCCAGGTGCAGAGGCCTACTCGATCTCCACCCAGAACTTGTGATCTGAGCACGCCGCATGCATGGCACTGCGCAGGGCATGGGGATCATCCTCCGGCCCGGCGCCGGGCAGATCATCAGCCAGGTCGTAGAAGAGAACCCCCGGGCCACCGAGGCGCGTCTCGAAGGGCGCGAAGCCGGCCTCACGCAAGCCGGTCGACACGGCGTCAACCACGGCCGCCACCTGGGCCTGGGTATCGGGGGCCACCGGCTCCGGGACCAGGCTGATGACGCACCCACCGCCCCCGGCACCAGTGAGCTTGGTAGCACATTGGCCCAGACTGCCGGCGATGTCAGCCACCCGGTCGATGGAGGCATGCCCCACTCCGACCGATGACAGGAGGTGATTGTTGATGGTCATCAGCTTGGCGAACTTGGCCAGGAAGGCACACATGGCCGGATGGTCCAGGTCAGCCCCGCCGGTCGGGCCCAGCGGCGCCAGGAGCTCCACATACGCATCGCTGATGCCCTGGATGGCGTCCAGCACCGGGCCCACGACGGTCGGGAATTCCGCCAAGTTCGAGGCCACCTTCTCCACCAAGGCACGCGTGCTGCGCGGCACCCGGGTGTTGGTGACAATGAACCGCAGGAAGGCCGGCAGCGGGGGCATCGACACCGGGGCCTCGCCGCGACGGAAGGCCACCGTCCCGCCGAAGGTCGACACGAAGTTGTCCACCCCGGACGGGGTCCCATGGATGAGCTGCTCCGCTCGGAAGGACCACTGGTTCACCAGATCCCGGAAGGCCGCCGAGTGGAACCATTTGGCCGGGGTGTCCGGGGCCGCCAGCAGCACGCGCCACTTGAGCAGGGCCGCCGAGAGAGCCGTGGCGTAGGAGGCCGATGACCCGAGGCCGGCCCCGATGGGCAGGGTCGAGTGGACGGACACATTGGCCAGGAGGCCCAGCTCGGTCCTGGCGAATGATGACAGCCGGGCCAGGTGGTTTGGAGGAGGGAAGAGGGGGGGGAGGCTCTTGGTCAGATGATATACGTGTGTGTGTCGGGGGGGCATTGCGGCGAGTGGTGACAAACGACAGGCACAGAACGGGCCACAAGGAGACACATACAGCTTATCGACCAACAGGTGCCGCACGAGGAAAAGGAAGCCGGTCAGAGCCAGGGCCGATTGTGGCAGGGGAGTGGACGACTGCTTGGCGTCCACTGAAGCCAGGCTCAATGAGGCCGGGTTCTCGACGAAGGCCTTTGACGCGGCGTCAAAGGCCTCGCGCGTATGATCGGTCATCTCGAGCGGCGAGCAGGCCGCCTCGGCGTCAGACGGCAAGCCAGGCCCCAGGGCAGCGATCTTGGCACAGGACAGCAGGGCCGAATCCAGCCGGACATCTGGCATATCCAGGGCAATGGTTGCCTCACCGAGGCCCGCGAAGGGCTCAACATGAATGGACACGAAGGTGCGCAGGTCGACCGACACGGCAATCGCCGTCTGCACGTGCATGCATGTGCGTGCGTGTGCGCGAGTGCGCGTGCGCGTGCAAATGCACGCCGGAGGGGGAGGAAGTGTGAGGAGCGATGTGATGGGGGCATCCACCCTCAAAAGAAGGCGGGAAGGGATAGCGCACCTTGAAGTGGACCACCGCATGCTCGCCACTGAGGATCACCTTGCCAGGTGCGCTGGAGAGGACAACCTCCGGATAGATGGGCTCGGCACACATGGCGCTGACGGGGAGAGCGGGGAAGAGAGGGGCGGGGAGCGGGGGCGGGGGCGGAGCTGAGCACACGCAGGGCGGGAGGTGAGGGGAGAGCGACACGATGGAGGGGGCTACAAGAGCGGGAAGCACACAAAAGAGGTACAAGAAAGAGCCCTCGAGAGGACGGCGGGGGGGGGGGGGGGGGGGGGGGGGAGGAGGGGAAGGGGGGGGGAGGGGGGGGGGGGGGGGGAGGGGGGAGGGGGGGGGGGGGGGGGGGGGGGGGGGGGGGGGGGGGGGGCGTGCCGTGGGGGGGGGGAGGAGGAAGATGTGCCAAGGCGGGCTTGGCTTGGCTTGCGGCCGGGCGTGCCCCCGATCAGCGGCCGCATATCAAGGCCAGCCTGCCGCATCGCCCCCAGGCAGAAGGCCAGGCGTCTGGTGCGTGCATTCCCGACTGCCAGGGCAGCCCCTGGCCTTCCTTGCCCCGCCAACCGGCCCGGAGAAGTGGGCTGATGTTTACCACCCGCCGGGGGTTGCCTTGCACACTCGGCCTCGTCGCGGCCCTCCATTGCCGCCGCCCCCGCCCCCCCTCCCCTCCCCCTCAGCCCATTGGACCGGGGGGCCGGCGGAGGGGGGGAGCCGAGATCCGGACCCCGCCCAACAGACGCCAGGGGGCGGTTAGTCGCATGGCCGTTGGCGCACGGGTGCGTCGGCACCAGCGCCCGGAGATGAGGTCCCAATGCCCCGAGCCATGCATGCCTGCGCCCTGGCCCTCTCTCGCCGCGCGAGACAACCGGCATCCACACTCGTCACCTGAAGATATGCCCCGGTCCCTTCCCCGACTCTCCCCGGAGTAGCGGGCCAGAGGAATGAGAGGGCGCGGGGGAGGAAGAAAGGCTGGGAGCAAAATGTCTGTGGTTTATCATCTATGTTAAAAAAAGAGGCTGTACGCGGTGTCGTACACTTCCCCACGGGAAGAAGCACTGAAGGACGTGCACGCGACACAAGGGAGGAGAGAGGGGAGGGGGGGAGGGGGAAGAAAGGGATGGGCATCGGAGCCGCGCAGAGGGAGCAGGAGGTGGAGACGGCGGCGGAGGGGAGGGCGGGGGGAAACCACCTCGGCGGCAGGCTCCCCTGTGGGAAACGGAATGGAGAGGGAACAAGGGCAGGAGGGGGGCGGAGGAGGCAGGAAGGGGAGTAGCAGGGCTGTCGGAAGTGACGAAGATGCACACATGCATACGCTCGCGGCCACGCGCGGTACACAGCGTCACAGGCGCCACATGGGCGTCGTGCATTGAAAGGAGAACTCTCGCTCTCGCTTTTTCTTCTTCTTCTTCTTCTTCTTTCCTTTCTCCCACACTTAGACAACCGACGCCAGGGCATCGATCTCGGCCACATTCAGGCCGATAGCCGGGCCGAAGGTGGACGAGATGTACGCCACACGCACAAGGCGGTTCTTGTTGTCAGGGCGCGCAGCCAGGATGGTCGAGTAGAGGGCATGGATGTTGCGCTGGAGGTCGCGGCCGGAGAAGTCCATGGTCCCGAGGGAGACACGGACGTCGCCGCGGCGGTCAGCACGGTACTCCACCGAAGACTGGGCAGTGCGCAGACTGGTGGCAATGTTGTCGGTGATCGTGCCGGACTTGGGGTTGGGCATGAGACCACGCGGGCCGAGGATACGCGCCACGCGCACCACCAGCGGCATCATGTCCGGGGTGGCATAGCACCGGTCGAAGTCCACCTCGCCGGCCTGGATGCGCGCGACCAGGTCCTCGGCACCGACGATGTCGGCGCCAGCGTTCTTGGCATCGACGGCCGCGGTGCCCGTGGCGAAGACCGCCACGCGCAGGGGGGCCGACGAGCTGACCGGCAGGTTGCAGAGACCACGGATGGTCTCGCTGTGTGTGCGTGTATGCGAATGCGCGCAGAGGTTTGCGATAGGGAGGGGGAGGGAGGGGAGAGGGCACGGAAGGTCAGCTCAGCCAGCAATCCGCGCGGCAGGAGGAGTGGAGCCAGGATCATAGGCCGGGCAGAGCCGAGGGGAAGACACAACAGGGGAGGAGGAGGAGGAGGAGGAGGAGGAGGAAGAGGAGGAACGCACTTCTTCTCGAGCTTACACTGGAAGACAATATCCAGCTTCTGGGTGCTGCGAGTGAAAGACAGGGCCTTGAGGATGCGCACGGCCTCGTCGATGGAGTAGGTGGCGGCCGGCTGGCGGAAGACGCGCATGCCGCGCTTCTTGCGCTTGGACGAGTAGTGGCAAGCCGGCTGGGTGGCCACCGCGACCGAGGCAACGGCCGGGCGGGCAGCGACCGAGGCCAGCAACGAGGCCGACATGGGGCTGGCCATGGCCAGAGGCTGGCCAGCACGGAAGAGCGCCGAGGCGCAACGGTTGACCTGGAAGCGTGGGGGAGAGAGGGCGACCATGCATGAGCGCACACGGACACACACGCACATGCATACATGTGTGCATGTTGGGGAAAGAGCGCGAAAATCGAGTGAGATGGCGGTGTCGGCGGCGGAGACGGCGAAAGGAGGCAGGGCAGGGACAGATAGGCAGGAGGAGGGGGGACACGCACGTGGCTGAACATGGTACGCTTGCCGTTTGACGCAAAAACACCGCAGCTCTCTGAGCGCGAGGGCAGAGAGATGGGAATGCCACAAATAGAAGGGACGAGATGGGGCAGGCACCAGCACGAGAATGGGTAGGGGTGTTAGGCGGGGCGACACGGGGGGGGAGGGGGGAGGGAGGAGGAGGGGGAGGGGCAAGAAGCAGTAACAGGACTCACATCAAAGGGGCGACAGGGAGGGGGAGAGAGGGGTATTGGCTGGCGACCGATCGTAGATCCCAGGCTCCTGGACTGTCTCTTAGCGGGCGAGAAAACCGGGCAGCAGAAAGGCTGGCCAAGCGCCGGTTCCCAGCGCCTCGATGGAGAGTGGCCGCACAATGGAGGCACGGGGGGGGG